GATAAAAGGAACTTCCCCTAAGGCACAGTATAGAGTCAGCCATGCTGCAACATTAGAGAATAAGATTAGTTTTTAATTCATAGGTATCTTCTATGTTCAATGTAAAATCCAACAGTTTCAAATAGGTACTGCACATATGGTGATTTTTAATGCAGAGTAACTGGAAAAGTGTATAGAAAGTAGGTAGTAATGCTTTATCTGCTTGATACTCGGATAAAAGTGAGCAGTTAACTAAGGCTGCTCTCCTTCGCATCCACTGGACAAAATAAGCTTGCACTAGCATGTCCAGTTTAAGGGACTACTCTGGGTCGGGACTTGCCTTAAACCCAGCCAGAAACTACTTGCATGTCAGATGCATGTTTCAAATAGAAAATGTGAACGCTGAAAAATGGTTGGCATTTCCATGAGGAAGAGAAATCCTACCAGTCCAAGACTTTTCTGAACTTTGCTCTGCATAATCATTTTAGTTGTGGCAAAAACAGCATCTAGATGGGGATTTTTCTTTGTTAATTGATGATGATATTAAGATTTAATAGTTTCTAATGAAGATTAATATTTTAAGATTGAAACAAAAACCAACACCATTCAGACTAGTTCTGCTCCACTTCACAATTAATAGCTGAATTTGAGGAAATGAAAACAGCATGTTATAAAATGTACTTGGAGTAAATTCTCTCTCCTGCTCCCCTTATAATTTTGGCACAGCAGTTTGCAAGCTGGGCTTCCTGAAAAAGGAGAGATGGCATCATCCAACAGAAGTTTGAAAAACAAAACTGCCCAGTGAGCGACATGATTATCATTTCATTAATGTGTTGGTTTTGTCTACCAACCGTTGTCTGGAGTGAAGCACAAAGCTACACTAAAGTTTTACCTTCCACCACCTTCTCCCATTTCTCCTTCCTCTTTCCTCACAGACTGCAGTCATGTTTAATTTGGAAAGTGGGCTCCTTTGGCAAATTAGCAATTAGAACAATTTTGTGGGAATATGTATATGTGTCATTAGTTTTCCTGCAAATTAATAGCAAGAGCAGAGGTCAGGCAGAAATTTTCCACTTGACTGCAGTTTTTCTGTCAAGATTTGGCACTTTGTTTTGGAACGGCCACAGCTGCTCAAAGCCACAGTCTTCCTCTAGGAACTGTCTTTTAATTAGTTTACCTCGTAGCCATTATTACAAATATTACTGCCTACCCCCCCCTTGAAATAAAATTACTGTTTCTACAAAATATTCCAGTGACATCTTGCACCATTGCACATTGATGGTGGGGTCATTCGAATGCGGCGTTTAATCATTAGATCACCTCCATAAGCATCTCCTAATTAGAGTCCTTACAATACAATTTTATCTGGTAATTAGCTAAGATTGGCTGCTTCCTCTGTAGCTTATTAGTGGCAGCCCAGCAGTGGGTGTGAATCGCAGTGTCATTTGTCAAGCCTGTTAAAGGCGACGCCCCCTCCCTTTGCTCTTCCTCACTTTCTGTGTTTAGTTCTAGTTACAGTGCCTATCCTAGAAAGCCTAAAGAAATTTAACTCAATTCAAATTATTTAACTGGAGAACATTGACCTTTGGGTTCTGCCTCCCCCCTCCCCAACTTCCTAGTAGAAACAGATTAAATGTTTAAGCTTTTAAACAGTAAAAACAGAATTGAAGTTGTTTGAAATTGAGTGGCTTGAACAGTAATGATGAAACAGTATCCGTGCTCTTTCTAGCAGGAGAGCCAATCTACTGAGCTTGTGCAGTAGAAGAGCACTGGAAATTGATTCAGATCAGCTTGTGCTATTTAAAAACGCACCCATTTTAAGAGCAGAGATAAAATGAAATAGATTTAATTTCTTAGTGATATTTCTCAGTTCCGCTATTGTTGTCACTGTGCTTTTTTATTATAAGTGATGGAAAGATGCCAGAGGGACAGAACAAAATCGGGGCAATCAGCTTGTATTCTTAACTGAAAGGACCTAAGATGGCCTATTGGCACTTTTTGCAAGTTATTTGAAAGCTTATGGGTCATGAGAACACAGCCACAGGTAAAGTAGAAGCCTGAAAGTCTCGTGATGTTTTGAAAGCAAAATATTCCTGTTACTTTTCAGGCATGAGAAGAGCCTGCTGGATCAGACCAAGGATCCAACAGTCTGACTTTTGTTTCCAGCAGCCATGTCTAGTGTGTGATACATTGCTCTTCAGTGCAGAATAGATTCTGCCACCCCTTCTCCTTCACCTTGCATTCTTTCCTCAAATCCTTACGCTCTTTTCCTGCTGAAAATCCTCCCAGCTGACTTTTGCTGCTAGTAACACATTGTAAGGTTGTGGGGCAAGGTCAGCAAGAAGATATGGGAACAAAGCAATCCCAATTCATCCCCCTCACCCTCCCTCTGTGATGACTTTTGGTTATGAAATGCTGTACCGTATAAGCAGAAAAGTATGCTGTTACTGCATTGTGTGTAGTCTGGCCTTATCAGGAGATTGTAATGGGTGAAGAGTGGGTATTATTATTATTATTATTATTATTATTATTATTATTATTATTATTATTAGAACATTTCTATGCCGCCCCTTGCCAAAGCCTCAGGGCGGCTTACAACACAAATCTGCCCCAGTTCCATGTATCCCAAGGTTCTGGGGTGAGGGCATCTTTTCTGCCCCACTCTGCCGAAACTTTTCCAAAAGACTCTTGAATTGTTACAGCAGTTTGCACTGCCTGTTGAGGTGGGCTGGCTTTGCCTAGAAAGTTACCATGAGAGTCACCTTTCCTTTCTGTAACCAGTGATCCTTCATCACAGATGCTTTCGAGCAGTTGTGAAGCTGCTGAACCTGTTGGCATCTGAGTGCCATAAGATTTATACAGAGGAGTGGGAGGGCAGAAGGAGATGTAGGTAAGGTTCAGTTGGAAACTTCTCGCTAATAACCAGTTTGTTTTGTTGATTATATGGTATGTAGTCCTATTCTTCATTGCACGTGAACCTTGCTTGTGGGTAGCTTTTATATTTATCTGCTTTTTAACCAGATGCTTCTTGCATATTTGTAGTAGACAGCAAATAACACAATATATGTGAAATACATAAGAGGTGTTACTGTGTTATACAGTTACAAAAAATATTTGTAAGGCATGAGTTAGTTGTTTCAGCTAATAATTTCACAATGGAAATCTAAAAATATCAATGACAGAAAGGCAAAGAATGATTAAATCTAAAAAGTATGATCTGTATTGACCATGTTAATTCCTTAAGGCAAGATATATAAATTTTCCTATCTCCTCATGAGGCACTTAGTATAGTTTCTAAAGGAAATTGCCTTGAACTAATGCTGATGTTTACCAAGGAAACAAAAGAAGGGGTTGGTGACATTAGTGGAAATCCTTGAAATGTGTATAATGAAAGCAACTACTTGTAATTATCAGCCAATGAGCATTTAGCATTTTTATGGATCTAGTATGTATTATTTTACCTTGCAATACTTTTAACTTACAATAGGTAACATTAGGCTGTCTGCATGGAAATGGTCTGTCTGTTAGGCTTACATTGGAGTCCTATATATAACCACTCAGAATAAGATCCAATTTAACAGATTGAGTATAGGATTTTAGCTTTAATGTATAGCATTGCAACTTTTATATTATTATTATTATTCAATGTCAAAACAAGATGTGGATCTGGCATCAAAAATGTGTGAATGCATTCTTCCCCCCCCCCCCTGTTTTATTTATTTATTTATTTATTTATAACCTTTCTATGCCGCCCCCATCGCAACAAAGCCCAACAAAGCTCACAAAGGATTGTTGTTGTTCTTGCTAAAAGTACTGGGGGGGGGGGGGGGAGATAGCTTATGTGGGAAAGGGTTTTTAACCCTTTCCACATACAGGGACGATGCAATTCCCTCCAACAGCTCTTACTCACCTCAGAGAAGGAAATATATTATTCATATTGTGAGTGTCCCTCTCTTCTACCACAGTTCAATGTTTTCCAGGTTTCCCTGAAAAGGAGGAATGGTCCTAAAACTGAATAAAGTATATTATGGTCAAGATAGTAATGTGATAGTTGTGACTTGAATGCCAAGCTTTACCACACTTTACAGAAAAATACTGGATCCTTAAATAACCAGATATGAGGGGACTAGGACTTTGCTTCCTGTTCTTTATCTTTAACACTTCTGTAGAAGAAGGGATTTTTGTCATTTTTGGTTTGTTAGACTAGGCTGAAAAAAGTTGTACTTCCTGAGATTTCTTGCTGGAGCCTGAAAAATCAATAGTTTGGTGTTGACCCTGAATACCACTGTTTTCAAAGGACATTATTTTCAAAGAGGGATGTTTTGTTATCATAGATTCAGATTGCTAAAATAAGAAAGAATATTAGTAGTTGTGTGCAGTGAGTCTGAACAGTTAAAAAAATTAAACCACTTAATGTCTGGGAAATAAATAATTTTATATGTCTGTTTGATTCTAGGACTCATTTTAAGAACCAGCCTGCTCTATTATGTGTTTTTTCAATGGGGATTGAAGCCCCATTGGTGAGGGTGTTCAAGGATAAGCTGGGCATGCACGTGGTAGGCATGTCATGAGTGGAGCCAGCTGGAGCCAGGGGTCAGACTACATGGCCCAGGAGGCCCCTTTTGACTTGCTCTGTTTCTATCGTTCAGGGACTTGTGTAAAGCAATACTTCATATTTTGGCTGTGGGTTCATAGGTACAGGATGAAGGATTTCTAAAACATTTCCATATACCTTAACATTCCTAATAACTTCATATCATACTTAAGTGTTCAAAGGCTTCTAAACATAATTTCACTAGTACTGCAATGCTCTTCTTATTAACCTAATTATTTTAGGTGAAGGCAGGTGGGAGGCAGGAGCTATGTTTGGAGATAGTAGCTTGTATAATGTCAAGTGTTATTGGAACTAAGGCCTTCTCAACCTGCAGCTCACATGCTTAATGCTTAATTGTGACACCATGAAAAGGAAACATTGTGAGAATTTTTTTTAATGAAAACTGCTACCTTTTCTATTTTCATAGCTGAATCTTGTATCTAGCGTCACACTTTCAAAGACTGCATCAGAGGCTTCTCCACAGAGCTTACCTCATACCCCCACCACCCCAACAGCACCCATCACTCCCGTTACCCAGGGACCTTCTGTCATCACTACTACCAGCATGCACAACGTTGGGCCTATCCGAAGGCGGTACTCTGACAAATACAACGTGCCCATCTCTTCAGGTAACTAGATGGATGTAGAAAAAGGGTCTTAAAGTTCTTCTGATTTCTACATTGTTCATAAATGAAGGGCCATGGTAATACAGGGACTGTTACACTTTATTTAGCAGATCTTGCGCAGAACCAAGAATTCTACAAGAATGCAGAAGTCAGGCCACCTTTTACATATGCATCCTTAATAAGACAGGTAAGTATGACCATACAAAATGGCCTACTTGAATTTGCAGCTGTACATTTATATGATGCTATAGACAGAACTGATTAAAACACGTTAGCATGCATGCATGTTGAATCCTTTGCTATAAGGATTTTTTCCCCTGCAACTGCAATACATATACCATAATTGCTTTTGATTAAGTATTACAATACGATGTGATTATTAGGAAATTCATTTCACACAACAGTGAAAATGAGCCTGTTTAAAGATGGCAAGTCAATTATCACAAGCTACAGTAATCTCTGATCCCTAGAATTAATCTGAGCTCAAAATAATTACTAAGCTTTAATCAGCTAGTGAAATGTTTTGCATTTCTCTTTGATTCTGCTTTATGAATGACTAATAAATTAATATTTCTGTAAGGAAACAGAAATAAAACTCAAAACAATTAGATAATTCCATTTTGAATTCTGCCATTGAGCTATTAAATACAACCATTAATCTTAGATCATAGTGCGGAGCCTTCTTTTGGATTTTGTGCTTTGAGTCACAGTTTGTTTTATTTATTCAAACAAATGTGCACTGTGTTTTCTACTCATTTAGTCGTAGATCATGGTTGCATTTTAATTGTTTTTCAGGCCATTCTTGAATCTCCAGAAAAGCAGCTAACACTAAATGAAATCTACAATTGGTTCACACGAATGTTTGCCTATTTCAGACGCAATGCAGCAACGTGGAAGGTACGCCTTATTGCCATGTATGCCTCTTGCTTTACAATTTGACATGTACAGAACAGACAGAGCTGCAGACATAACCAATTGTAGCAATACGTGGACTTTGAAATTTAGATCAGTTGTTTTGACACGCACAGGGTGCCTCTTATCTACACAAACAACTTGCTGGTTGGCAGAAAAATTCTTCTGCCTTTGAAATACTGCTAATTTGAATTCCCATTACTATCCCCCCCCCCGCATTTTGTGATTAAACTACCAGTCCACCTGTGTAGTTGCTTCTAGCACTGAAATGTTTCAGCTGCTAAGATACAAGGAAAAGGGTGAAGAAGCAGTTTTATCAACTGTGGCTTTATGTGGCATTATGTACACATTCTTTTAGCTGGAAACCACAGAACCCTTTTCCAAAGATTCATAGAAAAGTAGCTTTTCAGCCAACTGATACACCTGCCTTAAATTAACATGCCAACATCTCAAAACATTCACTAGTGTATTATGAAACACAATACAGGTTAATTGGGCACAGCAGTAAAAACACAAGCCAATAAAAATATTAAATCTAGCAATTTAACAAAATACCCTTGGTGTGTTAAATTTCAATAGTTTGGCTCTGTTTAGTTAATTTCTCTGTGTGCTTAAATTCTAGTAGAATACCCCTTTCTTTTAAAATGGCAGCAATCCAAAATGGCACACGTGGCATATGAATATTTTTGCAGAGTTCCCCTAAGATGCTGCCCCCTCCACTAAAACCCCAAACTATGATTTATTGTCTTCTGAGTTCAAAACCTGGTTCGAGGGTTTGGCACGACAGCTTTTAAAGAAAGCCCTGGTGTCTGCTTGCTATTTTTTGTGATAGCACCTTTAAGCTTGTTCCATGCCAAACCCCTAAACTACCTTTGAACTATGCAACAGAAGCAGGAAACTTAAAAAAAAAAAGTGGAAACACTATTCTGAAAACAAAACTCCACAAAAATCTTCTAGATCACATCTATATTTTTCATAGCCAGAGAAGCTTCTATTATGTAAGTTAGATAAGCACCTTGGAGCAAACTCAAAAGTTTGTATGGTGTAGAAACTGCAGTGTTCAGTATGTGTTTGAAAATTTTATTGGTTTTTCCTTGTTGCAGTATTTACAAGCTACTTCTCCATTTGAAATGCCTCAAGTTGGCAGAGAAGGTCGAAATAACATGTTATACAGTAACATGTTGTTCTATATTGTAACATGTCACAACATGCTGCACTTGTTCCAGGAAGATCACTGAATGGCCACTCTCACTTTCACCTTTTTGCCAAACTCAGTCAGATCTGATTCTCTATTGGGTGGGATGTAGATAAAGTATTTGGCTGTACATGCATCTGTGCTACTCCTGCTTCATAAAACCACATTTGCCACACCTCTGCTGTATGCAGTGCTCTGTGCAGAGTACTTCTAGTATTGAAATACACAGAGTCAGTCAGCAGTCCTGCCCGAGTGAAAAGTTATACTCACAAGAGGAATGTGTGCACATAAAATCAAGGTGAAGGATCTGACTGCATTGGGCCCTGTGGTTTATATATGCCTCTTGCTAGAGATTCCATTTATATGGCTGCTGATACTGAACACATTTTCAAAACTGGCACAGCTGCACAATTCAAATTATTACATATACTGAAGTTATAGAGTAGAAATAGGGGTAAGAGAATAGATTTCATTCCAGCTAAAAATGTGGATATTCACATGCCTTGGCTACTAAGAGGATCAGAAATAATTATCCCACTTTGTAATTCCTCACCAATTTCTAAATATGTTGTTACAGGATTTCTTAATGATTTATTAACTTTCTTTCTGCCAAAAATATGTATACCACTGTAATACATTGGACTGTCTGTTTAGCCTCTTTGAGGGAATGGATATGTTACAAGGGCGAGGAAATTAGTTATGCTGAGAAATTGCAGTATCAAAGGATTCTTGGAATCCCCTCCCCCATGTAGTTCAGACCTCCCTCTGCTGTTTAATTAATATGATAAATGTGTTATGCCTAACCTTGGTTTGTGCAGTGATTTTAAGACAGTCATGATTAGAATGCCTTTTACTACATATACCTGATAGCATGAATAAGGAGCTTAGTCTTTTGATTATTTAAAAACCTGTCCATATGCTTCTCTGGCATCATGCCTGTAAACTAACCTCCCTGATGACTTTTGGTGGAAGCCAGTTGTTGACCTACGCATTCATGATCTACTCCTTTTCCACTGGTTAACAGTTGTCTTTAAGGCATCATGTCCCTTCAGAAGGCTTTATCACAAATTAGGCTATAGTCCACTTAGGCAGATTGTCATCTTCAGATCCACGGTGAAGTACCTTGAGTGTACAGCAAATGAGTGTCCCACCTACCTTCATGGAGGCTGAGATGGTTTGTGAGAACAGTGAGACAGGTGGTGCAGGTCAAGAGGAACTGTAGGGTTTATTCCCCATGCAATTAAAAAAATACTGTCATCCTGAGATATTAAGTATGATAATGAAGTATTTTGCTGTAATTTTGTCTACTGTCCAAGTATACTGCTATGCAAGTACAATGTGTCAGCTCAGCCACAAGCAGTAGCTCTTGGAAATGCATCAGTAACCAAAGGCACCTTGTGTATTAGACCAAATGGTGAAATATGTTGATATTAAGAGTTATATCAGACCGGTGTCTGTTACCTTTCTCCTCTGAAATATGTCCCCATGCACATAATGTATGGAATTACTTGACCTGACCAACATTTTCTTGAATGAAGGGCAGGACATGAAAATATAACTTAAGTTCAAATTCTACATGCTTGAACACAGCTATTTTTCATTCTCTTTGTAGTCTTTTGTCCCTCTTCCAGGTGCAAATATATTTTCATGCAAAGTGTATCTTTTGTTTCACAAATAATTTAGCCCTGTTGTTCTCTGACCGGCTAGTCCAATATGAGCCCCTAGATAACACACATATGAAAAAAAAATCGGTGATTTTTATTCTTGCCAAGATTAAAACATTTTTAAAGCACTGATTCCTAATAATGGAATCTGGATATGGTTTTCATGGTATTGCTTTTACAAATCGTAAACATGCTATGGTCCATTGTGGAGGGTGGGTGAGGGCAAGGGGACTTGCCGGCTGACAATGCTGCTGTTCATGGACGATGCTAAGTCTCTTTTTCTCATGGAAAGTTTTTTTTTCAATGTTTTCTCTCTTATACTTGCTGCAGAATGCAGTGCGTCATAATCTTAGTCTTCACAAGTGTTTTGTGCGAGTAGAAAACGTTAAAGGGGCAGTATGGACAGTGGATGAAATAGAGTTCCAAAAACGAAGGCCACAAAAGATCAGTGGGTATGTCCACCATGTTTGAACTTTTTAGCCTAGCTTGGATCATGCTTACAATTTTAACATAGAGGCTTTGGCTGCTAGATGGTGTTATAGACCAATCCCAGGTAGTTTCACCTTGTTTCAGTCAAGGGGAGACAACAGAAAGCATTTCATCACTACCGTTTGTATGCCCACCGGTCCCCTTTGCCCTTGCTTGCTTGGTGTTTGTTTTGCATCACATGCTAGTAGCTTTTAGGTGGCAATGCATATTAACCCTCACAATCCATTTGCTTATGCTTATTGCATTTTATTTTCTTTTTCCTTTTCCCTGTATTTGATGTCTGTTCTGTTCCCAAATCCCATGTCCCTTTGTTTCCACTTCATCTCGTTTGCTGCTGATCTTATCCCAGGGTGCTATTCGCACCAACCTATCCCTGCATAAGTGCTTTATCAGAGTAGAGGATGAGTTTGGGTCCTTTTGGACTGTTGATGATGAAGAGTTTAAACGTGGCCGTCATATTCAACGAGGCCGTCCTCGAAAATTCTGCCCTGATGAAAACTTTGGCGAGCTTGTTACACAGTAAGAGCTTTTACTTGCTTTGTGTGTGAATGTGTGTGTTTGTGCGTGCTATTTTTCCCCAGTTTTTGTTTTCTGTTGCTTTTGCTTTGCATGATTTATCCATCTCATGTAGACCTGCATTTCACAAAATAGTAGCATTGCCTTTCCTGCCAAAAATAGATAAATCTCCTCCTCATGGTTGTACATGCACTGCTTCTTGCAAATGCATACGCTAACATCTTCTGACATGTTTATGGTGGTATTTTCTTAAAATGCAGGAATACTTATGTGTAACTACCCTACTGCTATTAGGTAATGTTGGATAATCAGTTAGCAAGACAGTGTTAGACTGATTTCATGCTGATAATTTTAGTTGCTCTTGTTCCCCTCTATACTCTCAATACAATTTCTGTTACTGCAATTAACAAATTAAAATAGTCAAACATCTGAAATCAATGCTTAAAGACAATTGCAGCAATATCCCTAAAAGATTCATAGTTTAAAGATTCTTTTAAAAATTATTGTTGACTATCTCAAACACCGTACCTCTTTGCCAAGACTCAAAAATGCAAGTTGAAAGTCCTAATTTCAATCAATGAGGAAATGGCCTTATTTTTGCTAAATTCAGAACTTTATAGCCATTGCTCTTGACTGAAACATCCCAAAATTATACAAAGTAGTATTTTTGATCCATGCTATTGATTTTGGACAACTTTTCCCAAACTGGCATGTGCCTAGTGTGTCATGCTGGGCATCATAGTCCAAAGCAACTGGGGAGTGCCAGGTTGGAAAAGACTGATTGAGGGCAAGCATATTCTCAGAAGTTGTCTTCAGGTGCAGTCCATCAGCTGCTGCTACTGAACATCTCTTTCTTCAATTAGTAAGGTTTCTTTCAGCAGGGATGGAAGATTTTCAGCAGTAGTAGCTTATGGCCAGAAGATCAGGGCTTGTAATCCTTCAATATACCTAGTAAGACATAAGCTCCATTAGGCATAATGGAACTGACTTCTGAGTGAAAACTCACATAGAATGCTATTACTAAGTTCCCATTGAAATTAATGTGACAAGTCAGTTAGCTTCCCTTATTTCAGTGGAACCCTAATCAACAATGTTTGGATTCAAACCTTTCTGGGTTTGTAGAACATCTGTTTTTCTAGGTGCCTCACAAATAATAAATGTTGTTGTCAGAAAAGTATAAACTTTTAGGGCATAATCCTGTACATGCTTAGACAGAAAACTTCTTCAGCTACCAGCATTCCCCAGCCGGCATGAGAATCACCTTATCCTTGCTACCCAAAAACAGGGTCTGTGTTTAATAAATTGTAAAGAAATTGGGAAAGCAGAAGCCCAAGTAACCAAATAATTCTGTTTTGCAAACACTCATTTGGATTTGGAAAAATCCACCCTTCTACTTTGGAATGTTTACCTTGGAAACTGCTCCACTGGACAGTTAATTCCAAGATTTGTGTGTTGGAGCACACCACACACCACAGGAGAAATAAATTTATTAAATAACTAAAGCATGTGAAAAGCAAATCCAGCAAACTCTAGTTAACTACTTGTTCATTAGTCACTAGGCATTCTCCTAGTGTCCCATCTATGGTGATCATTCAGATTAGAGTGGGCAGAAGATAGATCTCCCAGTATTTCATGCTTCCACTCCCAGGCTCCCTCTGCCAACATTGTTAATGGTCAGGAATGCTGGGAGCTGAAGTTCAGAACATCTGGAAATCTAATTTATGCTCACCTCTGATTCAAGGGAGTGTGCTGTGCACGTGTGTCCTCCTTTATGGAATCCTGCGGGCAGCTAGTTGTCCACTGTGTGAACGAAATGCTGGAGTAGATAGATCCTTGGTCTGCTCCATCATGGCTCTTAGGTTTTTGAAGGATCCAATCCCACATGGTTGACTTAAATATTTTAACAAACATGCAGGAGCTGCACAAGGTAAGTGACTTAGAGGTCAACTAAAGGGTACCTAAAATTCCGAGACCAAAGGTTAGGCGCTTGTTAGAGCTGCAGTATGCTGTTCCAATTCAGTGACAGTAAGGACAGTCAAAGAAGCTATGCAATAAGTAGATGAGGGGAGAGGGAGATGATGTTTATTATACGTTTTTCATGTGCAAGAAAACCTGAGCTCCTTAAAGCAGAAGAGATGGCTGCATTTAACTTATATCTTTCTCATATGTTCTTCCTTGCGCAGAAACCCTTCACTTATTAAAAACATGCAGACCAGCCACACCTACTGCTCACCTCTGAGTGCTGCTTTACAGGTAAGATTAATGAGTGTGGCAAATATGCCACATAGACGTGTGTGCCTTCCCTACTCGTTTCAAAATATATTAGCCTTGCTCTAATTAGATATTAAATTTTAATTCCGTTAAACTTTTTTCTTAAGTGCATAAAGCATCATGGTCCCTGGAGGCAAACACATATCAGGCTGTTTCAGCATTAGCTAGATGCTTAGCATTTTGAATATTGTGGCAAAAAAATTAAAAGTTCACTTATTAATATTTATCAGCAGTATCATAATTTCCATCCTCTTATTTCAGAATTTCACTTGAGGCAAAAATACCACAAGTGTAATTACTCTAGCACAGCTATTAATGTGCTGAATGATAGGATACTATGTCACATGACCTTCTATTGTTCATGGCTTTAAAGGGAAAGCAGATCTCCCCTACACACACATTTCTTTTTTCCTTTTAAGGGTCTTTCAGATGCATGTTTTTCTGTTTTAAATTGCTAAAGCTTACATCACAGTGAACAGAAAAGTCAGTTTAGTGTTCTGAGAAAAGAATTTTTCTTACTTACACATATTTATATGTTATATGAAGTAGGTAAGCATGTATATGTGTATGTATATAGGCCTGTAGGTTTATAAGCATATAAATGATAAAACAATTTAGTTCTATTCCAATTGACTAATTTCTCTCATATGTTTCGTATAGAATTTGATGTAACTACTAAATTTATCTCCAGTTACCAGTGTTAGGAAACATGTTTCTATGCTTCTCCTATGCCATTTCTCAACCACTCTGAAGGGCTTCAGTTTTGTCACATGAAGAGCACGCACAAACCTGTTTTGTATGCAAAATCAATAGTTTAACCCTTGAATGCTGCTTCTCGTATGCTTTGCATCTAGTTTCACAAATATTCTAGAAATGCACCATTCATGGGTTACTTGATATGATGGCTGAAATTAGATCTCTGGATTGTTGAGAGACAAATTATTGCTGTTTTGTTACATTTATAAACACTGCATTAGCCCCTAGGGCTCTCTGGGCAGTGTTTGGACAGCACATGAAACAACCCACGAATATTCACCATTCCTGGACTGCTGCTAAAAGCAGATGCAAAGCAAAAGCTGCAAGCACATGGGAGGCACCCTGTTCACTCATTCCGACATGTCTCTCCCAGCTATGACTTTTATAGAAACTATAGTTATTAGATGTGAACCAGGCCAGACAGAACACAATACATAGGAGAACTTCCATCAATTACAACTCTGGATTGTGCACATATGCGTGTGTACACACACTGTCTCATGTTCCCTGAGTGTAATAGTAATTTTTTAAGATACTTTAAGTGTTAATTGTATGCAGTGCCTGTACACCCCATTGAAATATCTATATTTTACTTATATGTGTTTTTTATTGTGTAATACAAAAACAAACTGCCAAAGAAAAGGAAGGAGAACTATTTGAATAGTATTTTTTAAAAGAAAAAAGATCCCTACCTCTGGTTGCATGCATATATATAATATCCCTATTATTAGTAGGTAACAGAACATGCTAGCATTATTAAAATAATTATGCATATATAGAGACAAAGGTACCCCAGATAGCCTTATTTTTATCCATTTGTAGATTACTCTTAAAAGCCACCTGTTCAAAAATGGAGTTTTATTAAATCTTCAACTGATTATGTTATCATAGGTGGACATTTTTCTTTCCAATGTTGTAATAGTAGTCAAAAGAACATGTGTGTCCTTAAATATTAACGAACTTTCCATCACAAATTTAACCAAAATATTACCTCCTTCCAAAGGTAGCTGCCATTAGGCATTACAAATGCATATGGCAGAGAAGCATTAGCAGCATTACACCTCCTACAATTAGTTGATTATTAAAGAGAGATTGTGACATCCAGTATATTCAAAGCATCCATAACTCCTTGTGAAATAGATAATAATGAAGCACTCCATTGGCTGGGCAGTATTCTTGCTTGTGATGATATGTATCATATTTATTCACCAATATTAGGTATTTATAAATTGTAGGTTTATATAGTTTTTCGGCCATAGTCAATACTTCTAATAACACAGGAGGCTCTGAAGCTGTAAAAGCCTCAGGACCAAACCTAGATTTTAACAAATGTTTCTGTTACATGTATTGCCATGCAGTTGTAGCCGACAATTTATATTCAGTCAGCAAAGCAGAGAATGGTTTAAAAAAATCATCAGGACCAACAAGTTGATCCAAAGTAAAAATGATTCTCTCTGACCAGGTCCTTCAAAGCAACATTTTCTTATCAATGTTAAAATCCAGATTTCCCCATGAAACTTATTGTGCATTTGAAATTATGCCATGTGAAAATAGACTGTCACTGACATGAAAGTATATGCCACAATTCTCTAGCTGACACAGCTGGGGGTGGGTGGGCATTATCTCCTTTCGTATGGTGCAGTGCACCTGGAAAAGGGATCCAAAAATGAAGGTGCCAGAACCAGACCTGGGCGTAGAATAAGTAGAAAATACCAAAATCTAGTATTATTTTCATGTGAAAGCTGGGTCAAAGATGGCAGCCTAAATTAATTGTTTATAGCATCATATTTCAGAAAGGTTTACTGGAGTTTCAGTTCTACTTTTAAAGCAAGGAACATTGATTAAGAAGGAAGGAGTAGCCTACATTACCTATAAAAAATTCAGTTGATGTGTAACTTCTGAAAAGCACATGAAAGCCTGTGTAAATGAAGCAACTGTAAATACCATTCATTAGGATCCTATTTTCCCTTGAGTATTGTGAAATTTGGTTTTTAAAGACATGCTCCGTCTGTGGAATAGTATTAAGGTTAGAAGCACATTTTGCATTCACGAAGCTGAAAGGCAACAATGAAGTGATCCAACAATCCTTTAGCTTTTGTTAGGTATGCGACTAATTTCAATTAATATGCTTATCATATGGAACAGTTCATGTTTTAGCTCTAAAGCATGTGTTGTTGTCAGCATCTCCCCTCACCACATGTATATATGTTTCTTTTGTTACCATCGGTTCTTTTAAAAAAGTACCTGCACACAGGTACAAATCACATTCAGTATACTGAGTGAAGTCAAGTAAGAATCTAGATGGGCTGGGCATTCTACACAATAAAGACTATAAATATGTAATTATATATTGTGCTAATTAAATCTTAGGAGAAGCAAAATGCACAAGTTTATTCTCTTTGCCCAGTCATCACTGCCTTTTGGAGCAAAAGTGAGAAAACTGAGCAAAATATATAAAATGGTCTTAATTTGAAGCAGTGTTCAGCTCTGAAATATATAAATAATCAATCAATAGCAACAACAGTGCTTATGAACATATGCAGAATTACTTTGGTTTCATAGCTGACCCCAGCTTTCAACCCCCCGCCCCCCAGGTATCCTGGTTTAGACTTTGTGAGTTGTAAGCCATCTTCATCTTTATTTTGCAATTAACTACAATAATTTCAAACAAACATAAATTGGAATCCCTTCACTACTGTTCAAAAAACAAACAAAAACTATTGTTTAAAACTACAAATAAAAAATAGGAAACCACTGCTTGTTAGCCATGTTAGGAAATCATAGTTCATTAGCTGGCGTGTCTACATTTTGCTGAATGTGATCATATCCATTAGAACCCATTTTGGCTTCTCTATTTAAAGGACTACTAGAAAAAAATTAAGCATGCAGCTTGATTTGTTTCATTGCTAGATTTACATAGCAACAATGATAGTACATGGCAACTATTTCTACAGCTGCCATCAGCCATTCTGTTCCTGTGTCATCCAAGGCATCTCTCAGTTTGATGAGATATCCTCAGATTCCCTCTATTTTTTGCCTACAGTGACTACCTTCTATACTAGTTATCAAAAAGCACAGTATCAGTGTTTGCAATCCTTTGTCTTTTAGCAGCCAACAGTTCTACTTGTGATTACTTCTCTGAGGTTAGAGAGGGGTGAAACAACCGTCAGATGTAGTGATACGCTCAACCTTGTACAACACAAAGTGAAGCAATGAGAATGAATGAAGAGCTCCAACAGGCCCTTTCTTCTTTACTTAACTCTGTGCTGCCCATGTTCCATTTAGCCTCCCTTTTTGAAGCACAATTTTTTTTGCCACAACTTACAGTTGTAACACAGTTGTCATTTTCAAATGCTTGTAATCTTATGGGTTTCTTAATGCTCTAAACTGAAATTGCACCAGGTGTAAAACATTACCATGTTTTCCTCTCCAAAGATTGTTCTGTCGAAATGCCTCAGTCCAGCATCTCATGCACATGCTAAGGAGAAATGTAACACCTGTAAGAAGCAAGTTCCCTTACTTTTTCAGCCAAGTAATTAATCTGGGTTTTCAACTTGAGCTATTTAGCAAGCAATTGGGGTGTTTGCTGAGAAGCTTCTGAAAGAGAAACTCTTAGGGGAAGAAACCTAGTGTGCAGCATGTCTCTTGGAATCAGAGTGCTGGAGGTTGAAAAAACAGGATTTCTACATTAATATTACTGATTTGCATCTCAGAATGTTGCCGTATGAGGATCCCCTGTTGCTATCTATCTTGCCGCTTCTGTATAGAATTTGTCCATTTGCCCACCTGTGGTTTTGGAGGGAAAAAATAGCAGGTGCTTTTCCCTTTCTGGCTCTTCCTAAATAAATTACTTTACTGCAATTACAAGTTATCTCTGTGGTGGGAAGTGCGTGACTCATTATTTCACAAACTGCAGGAAGCGCGAATCATATGTTCCCCACTTCATCAAAATTATTTTTCTGCATCTGGAATAAAAAAAGATTAATATAATCCTCTTCGTTAGAGTAGTTTTTTGATTGCATTGGATAGAGATAGGGACTGTGCTTCAGGGAGGGCAGCTAGATAAAGTGTAAAGGCAGGGTATGGCTCTTCAACGCCCCCAGTGATGGTTGTTTTGAATCTATATCCACAGGTCACACTGCAGTAAGTGAGGACTCAAACTAACACCATGTTTAATATTGTTAAAGATGGGAAACTAAATTGCAATTTTTTTCCCCTGCAGAAATTTTGCAGCACTCATCCACATGGTGGTTAGCTGCTGGTAGTGTGCTCTTTATTTAATCAGAAGACCAACTATTTATTCAGATAGGAACTAAAAGCTGTGTTCTTTTGAAGGAAAATATTAGACATCCATTGTCCTATATCAGGCTAAGTTTGAGAAGGCATTGTCTCAGTGTATGTTCCCTTCTCTTATTTCTAATGATTGCTTTAACGGTTTTGTTCTACAGATTGGAAGCTAGAGGCTTTCTTTGGCCCTTTCTGGATGACTTAGTTTTTGCACTGGAAATGTATAGAGGATGTCCTTTTACAGGGAAGTCTTGGTTTCCCATACCTCAGCTGCTCAGAAATGTAGCAGTACGTATGTTGCCATTCAAGTGTTTCAAACACCTGTGAGCTAATGCCTATGATGCAACTTATTCTTCACAGCCAAACTATATTTAAAATACTTCTAAAACTTTTACATACAGCCTAAAATAAATTAAAATATATTTATTTTATAATAGCACCCCCTACATTCATGTAGCCCTTTAAATCCCACGGAAGTTATGGAAGAACAGCTTCTTATAGAACCTTGCTTTCTGTTCAGCTTTGTTATGTTTGTTTCTTTCATATGTGTACACACATGGACATTGCAGTACTGTATGGATGCAAAAGCTGCTTCTACTGTTTCAGCAGGCAAGCTTGTCAAGTTGCTCTGGCACAAGTCATAAACACAAACTGCTCTGTCTCTGTCCAGGGAGTGTGCTCCAGCAGATAGCCTGTGTGGGCTCAGAACCAGTAGGCCTTTGTCCGTTTTCAAGCTCAACTGGGTGGTCTTGCACTAGACACTTGCTTTCAGTTTTAGTTCCTTGAAACTGTTAAGTAGGAATAAAATTGCCTTGCCTTGCATTGCCCGATTGTCATAAGGATTGTAAAGAACCTGGCACAATAAATGTGCTGTACAAAGAAAAAGCAAGCAGTTCATCTCAGTTATGCAAGTGCAAAAAAGTGATTTATCAATTCATTCCCTTTCTGCAAAGGACACTCACTTAGGTCAAACTCTGGCATTATTTTCCATGTGATTATCACCTGGTGAATATCTCATTTGAATGTGCTGGTATTTACCATTTAACAGAGAATTTCCACACTAGAATGTTATTCTTATGTTGTGAAAGATGAATATGAGGGTATTTAATTATATTCTGTACAGCTCAAAACTGGTACAGTTAAATCACTTTGCAGCAACTTTATTATATTTGATAAGTAACGTGAGAACAAAGCAGGCAACAAAGGAAGGATTCTACCAAGCACTGCTGTTCTTTTCCAATTCATTGTCCCATCAAACTGAATGAAAATTATGTCAAAGCAGATTTCACCAGTGAAAATATGAGAATGGAAAATGGATGTTACCTACAATATTTTTCTCTTGCCATGTAATTCAGTTTTCATAAATGGAGTACAAAAGAAGTGATAAGAGGACATTCCAGTCCAGTTCCTGGCACTAAACCAAGCCTTTCTAATCATAGAATTAGAAGGGACCCCAAAGATTATCTAGTCCAGCTGCCTCTTCAGTTCAGGTTCTGTACTGCAGAGTACATGTCCAGGGAAGGAGGAAGCACCATGTCCTAGGGTGATCTGTTCTGTTGCTGAACAGTTCTCACTAATGTTTAACTGAAATCTGCACTTCTACATTTTCTAACCATTGTTTCTAATCCTGTCCTCTACAGCAAGAAAGAAAATACTGTTCCATCTGCCATTCAGATATTTGAAGACTTTATCATGTCTGCTCTTTTCTGTTTTTTCAGGCTAAACATACAAGCTCTTTCCATCACTCCTCATAGACTTTGGTTTCTAGAATCCTCACCATCCGGAGTGCTCTCCTCTGGATATGCTCCAACTAATCATTGCTTCCTTAAAATGGGGCACTCAGAACAGGATAGAGTCCTTGAAATAGTGGAACTATTACATCGTGAGATTTTGATGCTAGGCTTCTGTTAATGTAGCCCAAGATTGCATTAGCTTTCATAGCTGTTTCATTGCATTGCTGACTCAAACTCAGCTTGTGATCCAGTAAAACATCTAAGTCTGCAGACAGGCCCACTCTCCTATTTGATTTTTTATTTGATTTTTTTTTTCTTTTATGCTTAAATTCCAAACTTGACTTTTATCTTTGTTGAATCCCATCTTGTTAGATTTGGCCCAGTTTTCTAGTCTGCCTAGATCCTTTTGAGCCTTTCTCAATTTTTCTGTGGTGATGGGTATCCATCCCGACCTTCAAAAGCAATCCCTCTGTGCAGTAAGCAATTTCTAAGACAAAGCCCTGTAATATTCCATTTGAGAACTCCTTCCAGGAAGATGATGAGTACAATTAGTAATTCTTGAGTACAATCATTTAACCAGCTCTACTACACCTAACCACAGCATTGTACATTCTCCACTTTACCAGGTAGTCAACAAGAATATTAACTCACATAGTAGATCTCATCCAGGGTTGTCAGCCCTGCACACCACTATGCAATATTGACAGGGGAGTTGTATCACAGGTCAGCAGCTCTGTGCATGCATGTGAAGATGTACAAAGGTTCATAGTGTGCCATGAATGGAGAACTGTAGTGAACAAAATCCCTCGCCAGAGTTACCTGAATAATATGTGGACCGGTCTGGCCCAAACAAGCATAATATGACTCAGGGCTTTTAAGACACACATCAAAATCAAGTTCAAAATAAGAAGGTCCAAAGTCTGAGGCTTAAAGTGTTTAAGGCATAAAGATGATGATGATGATGATGATGATGATGATGATTTTGGCTTTCTGATTTAAGTAAGCAGCCCATAGCTCAGTGGCATCTCCTGGGTAGCTGAGTTGTTAAAACCCTTTGTCTGGGGCTTGGAGTACAGCTCTCAGAGTAAAATGTGTACTGGGATGTACAGTACTCTGAGGGCAGCTTCTTTAGTCATATAAGCAAGTTAGCCAACTTTATACTAATGATTACATCTAGACAGTCTAGAAATGTGTCTTTCTGGCCACAAATATGTTAGCACCAAGGTTTCCCTGGCCATTTGTATCAAAATAAGCAGGCAACAAATAGAACAATTGCACAGATTGTGAGCAGGGGGGATTCTTCCTTACCCCAGCTACCAAGTGTTGTTTGTGCAGCAATATTGGACATTTGCACTCTGAGTCCAGAACAGCGGTCAGTGAATAAGCAAAGTTCACATTCAGCCAGCTTGTCTGCATATCAGCTTGATGATGTTCTCATGCCCTTTATGGTAGTCATTTGAAATCTCTGTTCAATTAGCATGTACAGGAAAATTGTATATTTTCCAAAGTTGTACAGCCTTCCCCCATGTGTGAAATTGTACACATTTGGTGCAGTGGCAAACTGCTTGTTCAATTAATATTTGTGTATTTTTCAAATGCTAGTACATGCTTGAAAGCTGCAATGATTTTTGAGAAAATACTCTTCTGCTCATATGTTCAGGGTTTTAGAGGGGTCTTGTTTGACTGCTTTGTGGGCAAAGATGAGATTCTCAAACATTTCTGGTCTGGAATGCACCTTTCTTTCTTAGGGTTATTTCCAAAATGATGTGAAAATCCTTCAGCTGAAGTGGTGAGACACTGCATACTAATGGCTTATCACATGAGTAGTGTCACCATGGGGAACATTTCAAAGCTGCTTCCATGTGACAGCCATTTCATGGGCACTGGCCCTTAGAAGCCACCTTTTAAATCATTAAATTATTGTTGTATTATCCAGTCCTGATTTTGAACCCTTTAGTTCACTTATGCCCAGATGTTGGCTGATCATCATATGGCAAGTTTTTACACCTGCTACTGGGATCAGTTTTCATGAAGTCCTCCTTTGGTGGCATTATACTAGCATCTGTACCTTGTTCACTCATTCTTCATCCCAGGGCTCCTTTGCTTAGGTCTTAAAACATTGTTTGCTTACTCTCTAAGCAAATAATCATTGTGTATAAATATCCAAATAGATGAAGATGTCTGTGCCATGAGAGGAAGATCAGGGACGCATGCTGGCTCTGGGACTCTGTTGACTTCCAGTATAATATTGCAGTAAAAGGCCTAAATTAACATTATGTTCAATACATAGTTTTATGTCTTCATAGTGTGGTTTGAGCAGGATCAGAACTGCTCTTTGGGAAGAAGATTTTCTAAAGAAAAATTCCTCCCTCCAGACGGATAGATAAAGTATTTGATATAACAGGTAGTTTGGCTCTAAGTTATCATTTCAATTGTTATTTATGTGAAATTGCCTTTGCTAGTACAGGTGAAGTTACTGTTATATAAAAAACAGAGTTAGGTGAACTCTTAGCTCTATACTTCACTGCCATGAAACTGCTAATACAGACATTTTATCCAATGTAGTGAAAGAAAACATGATGCAAACAATCCACCTTGGAACTGCTCTGTGCCACCTGCATGAGCATGTGTTGCTATGGTTTCCCATGTCTTGTTCTTTGACTTGACAGGCTTCAATGGCTGAGAATAGTATACCTCTGTACACTACTGCTTCCATGGGAAATCCCACTCTGGGCAGTTTAGCCAATGCTTTGCGGGAAGATCTTAATGGTGCAATGGAGCATGCGAACAGTAACGGGAGTGACAGCAGTCCAGGACGTTCCCCTATGCAAGCAATGTAAGTAAAAAAGGAATGTTCCTATTGGTTTGCATTTTGCATTTATCTGTCCTTCCCTGTCCCACAGCTAAAATAAAACTTTAAACTTTGGAACTGTGCATGTTCCTTTTGAAGCAAAAAAATCACTTAGCACTGAAACAACAGCATAATAATTTGCTCAACCAGGTCTGACAACTCCATACAGCTACAAACTTATTTTCTTAATTGCTGATATTTTATAAAGTACAAATAGTATTATATAAATGCATTGATTTGCTTTTTAATTCATTATACCCTTTTTGGTCATTTATCCGTATCTATCAAGTTCTATGAGCTAAAATGGAATTTCATTACTTATAATGTACTTTTGCATACAAGAGTAATGATTGAGAAAGTTACGTCCAACAAGTTCAAAAGGTGATTAGAAAAAATCATGAAGGCTAAGGCTGTCAGTGGCTGCTACTCATCACGGATATCTATTATCTCCAGAATCAGAGGTAGTATGCCTCTGAAAACCAGTCACTGGAGAATAGAAACAGGAGGATAGTAGTATGCTCCTGCTCTGTTTGCTGGCAGTCCATAGGCACCTGGCAGGCCACTATGGGATGAAAATATTGGATTGGATTGGGCTTTGGTCTGATCCAAAATGACTCATCTTATATTCTAAAGATGCTGGGGTCAGACCATAGAAGACCTCATGATATGTTTTCAATTTCTCACCTGTGAGTAAGCCATTTTTGCTCCTGATCCCATTCCATCAGATCCACATGCAGTTTTTTTCCCTGATTCGCGATTCAGATCCAGAACTTGCACATCCCAACTCTGTCAATAACCGGTGAGCTTCTCTCTCTCTCTCTCTCTCTCTCTCTCTCTCTCTCTCTCTCTCTCTCTCTCTCTCTCTCTCTCTCCTCTAACTATAGCCCAAGCCTGGGGTCCCCCCCCCCCCATTGGCACACTTCTTTGCACCAGTCACACCTGTTTTTCTAGGATTTAAGAATTGGTTGTTCAACCCCTAACCAAACCTCAATGCTTGACTTTGCATGACACAAAATGTTGCCACATACCTCCCACCACTGCTTGCATATTCAAAATAGTGTCCAGCCCAAGTCCCAGAACCCTCTGGGTTAATTACTCCATCATGGCTTATCATACCATGCAAACTGGCTCATTTTGTTGCAAGATCCAAAAATTATATCATGGTTAACTGGCATTTCAAAGAAAACTCTTCCCTCCAATTTGAGGGGAACTGTGTATGACTGTTGCTATCTGCACCTTAAAATGTTACCATGAAATTATTAGTCCTGTTGCCAAAAGATCACATAATCAATTAATGAAATGGATAGAAGAATTAATTTGTAGCCCTTCTACTTCAAAGTAATATGGATAAGGCATTGACAAAAGTAGGTCTAAATCAAAAGGTAGGAAAACATTAACCTAATGCCACCCTAATAATTAGTTGTGAAGGTAATTAGCATTTAATGGTTTTAAAAAGTTTCCCACCTGCATAATATGTTGGGCAGGGGGTAGAGGAGAAAAGAAATCTAAGGATCTTAGTACTTTGATATTTCAGCTTTTCAAATCAGTGCACATTCTGCTTTGAAAAATAAACTTTAAAGATGGCAACATTCATTTTTAATTAATAATTAATTTGAACATTGTCTTTTACCATTTTCTTCAAAACATTTCAATGTGTTTAGCTTTTACAGGGATTGTTTGTGCAGTATTAATTAGCATTCCCAAAGCAGAATGGCATGACATTCTTCTAGCCACTGCTGAATGGATTCCTCTTCAGGCAATTTTAGTCACAAATACTCTTGCTCTCTCCATGACAATGTTACTTGTTTCTAATACTGGAGTTGCTGGGATGGTGAAATTTTCCAGGAAGAACTCATCTAGTTTTCCAGGCATAAGATATTTATGTAAGCTACTTTAAAGATTTGTATATGACAGTTGTTTAATTAAAATTAGGACAACTGACAGGAATTAGGGGTACATACGGTAGCAGCTAATGAACAACTTGTAAAATGTCAGGTTTCCATCAGTGTGACTTTGGGGTAAGGATGTAGATCTTGTTTATGCATCTTATAAAACATTCTTCTGTTTTGAGATTATTTTTAACAACAACACTGGATAACATTAAATAAATAAAATTGCTTTGGAAAATGGCATTAAATATTTTTGTGAAAATATATTCACGTGCCTGTTTTTAGTCATGAGAACTAGACATATCCCCCACTCTTTTGAACAAAGTATGAGCAAACCTATGCTGGTTCTCACCATCTAATCATTCCTGCTTTGGATCTGAATGCTGGGAGATAAACGACTTGGAGTTGGTTATTTCTTTTCCCAACAACCCAGATATCCCAGTTCACATGTCATGCTTGGAGCAGGAGTGATCAGGTGCAGGACCTTGGATGTTAACACTTACTTCTTGCACAATGAGAAAAAAACCAACCTGGGATGTTGTGAAATATGAACCAGCTCAACATTTCTTTTCTTTTTTTTCCTCCACCAAAGAGTTTATTCAATGCTTTAAGACATTTTCTAAGAACTGTATAGATACTGAAAGTCCCTGATTGCAGGTTCACTGTCCAATATTCATGAGAGAAAAGGAATGACAAGTGAAGAGGAAAGTAGGGTTATGTACTATTAGGAATCCAACATCTGTCCTAGCTGACAGATCAGTAAAAATGGCTTGATTGCATCTGGAACTTTGGTTAGGTTTCAGTACCTTGGTCAGTGATCTTAGAAAAATAACAACAAGCAACTGGCAGGCTTTTTATAGTCAGATCAGGAGAATGAGAGTCAGTCAGTCGCGCATTCTCTCTCTCTCGAAACTCCATTCCTTTGACTGCTGCATCTGGCTGTGAAAAGGACAGTAGACTTTTTTCTGCAAATATTGTCTTCTCCTAGTTAATTGAGGATGGAAATGGGAGGAGTCAGTTGAGACTGCTCCCTAGGATGTCCCTGTTTACTAGAGGAATCTGAATACTACTTAAATTCCGAAGGCATTGGCACCTCCTGAGGGTTACATGGACAAAATAATGGTGTCTAAGGCAGTAAGCCCCACTTCAGAAGGGCCAAGAAGTGTTTTTGACTTCTTCACAAAGTCATTGTCACTGGTAGCTTCTGTTTTTGAGAGGTGCCAGTCCCGGTCTTCGTCAGGTTGGACTCAACTGCAGAATGTATAGCTTGGAATTCTGCAGTGAAGAAACATGGTTGCCATGTCTGGTACACTGCTCTCTGCCATCCTAAATGTTTGCCTATAGGCTGTCTAGGGAGGCTGCTCAATTCTGGCCTCAAAGGATTTTTTACTTAATAAATCTGCAAGTGAAAGATGTGGGAGAACTGCTCTATTCCATTTAAATTTGGGATAGACAGCTGCTTCAGTTTGGGGCAGTTTGTGAAAATAAGCAAGATCTCATTCCATTAGGTAGAAGGCATATTTGCCATTACTTTCCTACATCCTTGTCCTGTTACTAGAACAAAAAAAAATTCACATTTTGATATCATAATGACAGATGAAGTATATAGAATAATAGCAGAGATGCTGATAGTGACAAATGATGTAAGCAAATGGCCACAGTAGAAGAAATAGGATTCAAAGAATGCAGTAGTATTCTGGCATACTGTATTTCCTATTTCCTGTATTCCTGGCACACTATATTCTCTATTTCATGTAGAGCGAGATGGTATGTACACTCACATGGATAATTTGTGTAATGGAAGAACTAGTGCAGAATCCACTCCTATTCATTTATCATTGCATATGTTCCTGGACCCATGTGAACCCTCCTTTCAGAATCAAACAAATGCTTTAACATCAACTGAGGTAACACTCTTAAAAAAGAATAAAAACTTTGTGCAACCTTAGAAAAGAAGTACGATAGCCCTACTTCTGTAGATGTTAATTGAAATAGAAAATGTGCTTGTTTTTGTCATCCACTGAACTCTCATTTGGCATCCCAACACACCACACCTGTCTCTTTATAAGCAATTTTCTTTGGTTTAAAAATTCAAGTAATGCACTAATAGCAATACTTGGACCATTCCCACTAAATGTCCCATTGAAAGGTCACACTGTAGGATTCTGTTCAAATGTTGGAAAGTTTTATTGTTGCTGTGATATTATACACAACGTTCAGTGCCTGCTGTCAATACTATCAGAGGAAGTTACTCTCCATGCTTAGATATTTCTAAATACCTTTTAAGTAATATTTTCCTTTCCCTTTACAAAATATTCTTGCAAAATATTTGCAAAATATATTTTCACCCATAGAAGAAATTATTTTTAATACTTTTGGCATATTGAAATAGATTGAGCATTTAAACTTGATCACCAACTTTAAAGGGCCTTGTTAACATGACAGCTAAGCAACTATAACACTACAGCTCAATCTTGCTGCCATTCAGCCATTGCATTTTATGACACCCTGAAATACTTCTGCTTCGACCTCCCCATTTTCTTCCATTCTTTTGAACTATTAGAAAGTAGTCACATAATTACAGTTAGGGGACATAACACTTTCATCCTGACATGCTTGTAAGGCAGCCACAAAACAAATGACCCCATGCTGTGTGCACCACGGCGGCTTTAAACAACAGCCAGCTTTATTAAAAACTCCTCTCTTCCCCGAGTGGACAGAAAGACAAATAACTCAGATGTGAAAAGGGAAAAAGTGGCACTTTTTGAGATTACTTACACTTAATCCCTTCAGCCACAACCTAAAATTAACAGATAGGAATTCTGGTACTACTAATCAGGAGAAAACAGGCTTTGGTGAAAAATCTTCCTGTGCTCATATCTAGCTCTAGCACAGGGGTGGCCAAACTTGGGAGCCACATGAGGCTTTTTGAGTTTATTTTGTGGCTCACGGCTCGCCACCCGCAGGTGCCCACTTGATGCCCACAACTCTCAACACTGTACATTTACCCTATGTGGCTCTTTCATTGAGCAAGTCTGGCAAACCCTGCTCCAGCACTTGTTGGAGGTTTTCAAAACAGTTAGAATTATAATTACC